ACCATGAATTTTCCAACCAAAGAAATAAGACAAAAGGTTGTGTGACATTCTCTCACATATCCTTATCTATAAAATGAGTCAGGTTGTAGACAACCGGTTGTGTAAGTACCACAATTTCTATTATACGTATTACAACATTTATCATTAGTTATGATCAATTTAACCTAAATAGTATAACAATTTCACATATAAGTATTACAATATCTATCATAAGTAACGATTTATTTTTAATTCAAATGTATATTAAATTTTCTACAATAAGTATTATAATTTCATTCATAAGTAACATTTCACATACAAGTATTACAATATTTATATTAGAATTACAATTTGAAACTACTACAATTTCTATTATAAATATTACAATATTTATAAGTAACAATCATTTTTACCCTAATAGTATCACAATTTCACATATAAATATTAGAATTCTATTATAAGTAACAGTTTATTTATTTCAAATTAGTATTACATTTTTTGTAATAAGTATTATATGTGATTTCTATTATAATTGAAAGGATGAATCAATTGGTGACTTAATTACGGGAAAGCTTGAAAGGAAAGAGAAGATGATTGATTATAGATCAATAGGTGAAAATTATGTATATCATAATATATCATTACCTTGTATTTATAATTAATTTGGTAGTTTAATTATAATTAGTATAAATATGTTTATTGTATATGAATATTGAGAACCACGAACTATAGAGAAATATATTGCGACAGTAAGTTGAGACATCTGGCCTGACTTGATGAGCCTAGCGCGCCGGTGATGGAGGACTATATTTCCGCCGCCGTATTCCGCCCGAGCGCAAGGTGCAGAGTCTCATCCGCCATTGACGAGACCAAGAGAGAGATGATGGTCTGGTCTTGTTTCACCCAGGCCTTGTAGGCCGGATTCGGAGTGGCCGGAACAGCATGGCTGGAGGAGGCGTCATCTGAGGCCGGTGTGCCGGCGATCTGCTCCGGCGGGCAAGGGTGGGTGCCGTCGACGAAGCCCAGGAGCTCCTGGCCTCGGAGGAAAGACACGATTTGCATACGCCAGAAGAGGTAATTCTTCAGCGTTAATTTCATCGTGACGTAGTGGTGAGCCCCGGCGAGGGAACCGCCGGCTGCCGGAGCTCAGCCGTCTGTGGCCGTGCGATCTGAGTCGGATGACATGGTCGATTGAAGTGCGGGAAGGGAGGGGATAATTTGTGGTGGAGGTTGGAGAGATCGAAAAATCCTAGTCTGATACCAGATTGGAAAAGGAATTTCGTTAACAACGTAACAACAGGATTACAGAGTGTATCTAACTCTAACTAATCCTATCAAATAGCTAAACTAAGTCAAGCTATCTAAGCCACATAATATAAAACATATAAGACAAATAGTAATAATAATAACTTATACTAACAATTCTACTCTTTTAGTTATTTTTCTTGGAGCACTCACACACTCGAAGTGTGAATTCGAAGTTTGTCGTGACTCGAATACGGTAGGAGTCAGAAGCCTGCTCGAAAGGTTTCATAGCTGTTACGGTCCTATTTAGGGTCGTAACAATAATTAACAAACAATTATCCTAGACTTAACTTGTCTCACAGAGTCACAGATTAAGATTCGTGCGACAATTTCACACAAGTGTGACTCAAGAATCGAAAAGCATGAAAGAACAAACACCATGTGATTATGAGTTCTACTACATGTACTTCCAAATCTTGGCAATTTATATCCTGCACCAGGGCGCGCATTGCATTGTGCGCCCTGATGCAAAACGACGTCGTTTCAGAATTAGTTTTTTTTTTTTTTTTAATTTTGCTACCCTGTGTTGGCGGGTTAATTTTCTTTTAAAAAAATCTCATGTTCAAAAATGTACATAATTTTATATTATAATACTCATAATTGTATACATGAATGTACCTAATTGTATAACAAAATACACATCCTTTTTTTTTAAAAGATAATACAAATAATCTAACATAATACATAATATACATAAACTTTTAACATAATAAACATCAACTCTTAACATAATACACATAAATTTCTTGTTTCGGATGTACATAATTGTATAAAAAAAGATACACATGATCACGTCAACTCCCTACATAACTTACCAAAACGACGTCGTTTTGGGAGGCGCAGGGCGCACAGTGCTGTGCGCGTCGTGGTGCAGGGTAAACGATTCTCAAATCTTACTCCCTCAAATTTACTCCCTAATGTGGCGGGCTCTGATTGGTTATTTTCTTCATGTGGACCCCGGTAAAAGTGTCTATATCAATATTTTAAGTGTGGGAGTAAAAGTAAGGAGTATGAAATGGGAGTAGATGTAGTATTTTCCATGGAAAAATATTCATAGGGTAACGAAAACCACTCTCTTAATTAATACAATTGATGCCTATACGCCATCATCAACACCATGTCCACAAGACTACAAGTCTACAACCGATTAACCTATTATTCTCCTTAACGATTCTCACGACCCTTTTTACCTCCCAATTGTAATCTCTTATGTCTTCTAGCACCCAAAGCGATAGGTCATCCGACATGTAAATCCTAGCTTTCCCTTGTACTCCATAATTCGTTTGTTCTGGTAGCTTTTGTCGTCTTTAAACGTTGTTGTTGTTGCCAATAACTCCGAGTGTGTTTCAGTTGCGGAGTTGAAAGTCAAAATTGAGTCGCAGTTTGTCAGCCAATAAACCACGCTGCATATACAAACATATGGTTGATGGCCAAAAAGTGTGCATTGTCCCGCTACAAGGACTTCTGTCCGCCTCTAGCTCCAAATATAAATAGCCTCAAGCACAAGAAAAACATCAACAGCAAGCAGTAGTAAGTGCAAGAACAATTTTTAAAATAGTTTGTGTATTTAGACCTTATCCCAAAAATAATGGGCAAATTATATCATAGACTACACAGTACAGTCTACACACTACAGTCACATAATATGATAACATCATTCACTCTGTTTATGTCCATAAAATGCATTATATATGTTCATAAAACCAAACTTTAATTTCTATAAACTACACACCAAAATTACATAATGTGGTAATGACATTCACTCTATCTTATTCTTACAAGGGATCTAGTTCATAGAGTTTAAGTCAAATAAGCTAAGGTCTTCAATATTATTGGACCTCATGTTAAATGTTACGAAAGAGGCTATTGCAATGATCCAAAATTCTCTAATCATGCGTATGGACACAAATCAGTTTTCCACATTTCTCTGTTCGTTATACTTGGACGTGCGGAACACTTGTGTACGTGATTGGCGCAACATTTATCTGCTTAATTGTTTTCATGAAACCTACATGGTGCTACACACAGGGATCATAAGACTATATATTGGAATTGTGTAAGATTAAGACAATCTAAGTTTCAAAAAACATTGTTTCATAGAATACAACTCACACTGAAATCAGTCAAGAAACTTCAATGGGCATATCAGATCTGGAGTAGCAACTCCATATCCGACTAGTACAAACATTATTGAGAAAAGAGGTTAGTGATAATTTGTATAGTCTAGATGATTAGCTCAAATTGTACGTCTTTACATTTTCACAAAGTTGTTTACAAGACCTATTTAAAAAGGTGCCAATCCTAATTTAGAAATTTATTGAATCTTGTAGTGTGAAAATTTTGAGTTGCTATTCTTGGTGCTATTACAGTTAGTTTATAGCACTAAGAGTAACAACATTCTGAAAAATTAGAGCTGAATAGTTTGAGCTAATCCTCCAAACTACACAAATTGTCACCAACACGGTCATTTCTCAATAATGTTTGTACTAGTTAGATATGACCTGCTACTCCATATAATACTCTTATTTGACCTTTGAAGTTTTTTGCCTAATTTCATTGCAGGTTGCATTATGTGAAACAATGATTTATGAAACTTGGATTGTCTTTATCTTACATTGTCCCAATAATCCAATATATAGCTTTTTTACCCTTGAATGTAGCACCTTGTAAGTTGCATGAATCGCGTACAGAAGAGTTGAACCATTCTTGTTCGCACATTCAAGCATGACCGGCAGACAATTGCGGAAGACTGATTTGTGTCCAAAACTTATAAAAACAATCATGCAAATAAACAATATAAGCATATAAAGATTAAAAAATAACCAACATATATACTTTAAAGAAACCATTTTAAAAACATTATAAACATTGCCCTTAGATCTCATAGCTTCTACCAATCACAGACAGATGGTGTAGTTCATCAAAAGCCTTTTTCAACACTGTAAAGAACAGCCAGGGTGAAGTGTGTGTGTGAATAGATGAATATTAGAGGTGTGAAGGCTAAGGTGAACTGGTGGTGGTGGTGGTGGATGATCTAGGGATGTAAACGAGTCGAGCCGAGCTTGAGCTCGAGCTCGCTAAGGTAGGCTCTGCTCGAGCTCGGCAATTTTCGAGCTGCTCGAGCAGCTCGATTGTTCAAGCTTTGATCTTGAGCTCAAGTTCTAGCTCGAATTTCACCTGTTTTAAAATTTATGTTTCAATTAAAAATAAACTACTTTGTTTTATCCGTACATAAATAATAAAAACATCAAATCAAAGCACTCAAAATAAATTCACAACAAACTACAAGACACAAGTCAACAACATTGTTCAAACATCAAAGCACTCAAAATAAGTTCACAAGTCACAACTTCACATCAAAATACAAGTCAACAACAGTGGCCCTTGATTCCTTGTAAATAGATATTTCTTCCGGGATAATCAGTTCAAAACAAGAAATATATGTTCAACTTGCAAAAAATATGAATAATATTAGATAACAAATGAATGTAATTAAAAATAGTCAGACAAGTATGTTACTTAGTAACTTACTTTCATGAGTTGGATGCCGGAAGAAATATTTCTTGGAATTATTTATCTTTTTGAAAAAAATATATATAAATAAGTATACAATTAAACAAATGTTTTAAAAAGATAATGTATCATTTAGCATAAAAGTTAGCTTACTTTATTTTTGTTAACTCCATATATATGTCGAAGTCAATCACCCCCACAAAGTAAAGCTAGTGTTGTTTTAGGCAACAAGGATGCACGACACGAATCAATTATCCTTGTCCCAGCACTAAATGTTGCTTCTGAAGCCACAGTGCTAACAGGTATAATTAAAATATCTGCTTCCATTCTTGACAATATTGGATACTGCAGTCTATCCATCTTCCACCAGTCTAAACAACAAAAGTTGCTAGGAACCTCAGTAGTCTTAAGACACCCTTTTTCTAGATAGTCTACTAACTCTGCGTTTTTAGGCTCTGAAGTTTCAACTTGTGCACAAAATCCCTCAAAATCTTCCCAAGCATATGTAGACTTTTCATGGCTGACTTGACTTCCAAAAGTGTTAGAAGAACCTAAATTTTCAGAATTTTCTTTGTCCATTGATTCAGCAACATACTCTTCATAAAATCTCATTCACTTTTGCTATATTCTCCTTAGCTTCCTGATCAGAATAAGTCTAGGGAAACAGAATTCAACTGCAAGCATTTTCTTTGTTGGATCAAAGACAGCACCTATAGCCATCAACAAATTGTGCTCACCCCAATATTTATCAAACTTCTTCTTCATTCTCTTAACCAAATCCCTAATAAAGTCATCTTCATCATCTACATAACTATCCAATGTTGATTTGATTTTTTGAACTTCTTGAAGAAACAAATTTGAAGTAGGGTACTCAGAACCTGAAATAAATTTGAATTAAGATAATCACAAGTCACAATCTTAACCAATTTAAAAAAATAATAATAAAAAAATTAAAAGAAAAAAACCTGAAATAATATGAGTAGCTGTCCAGAAAGCCTCTAAAATTGAGCAAACTTTGGCAACCTTGTTCTAATCATCTTCCAATGGACAACTGTCAAAGAATGGATCACGATCTTTTAGCATCTTAAAAGCTTCTTTGAACTTGAGTGCACAACTTAACATCTCAAAAGTTGAATTTCATCTAGTTTTACAATCACTAATTCCTATCTTTCATTGCAATTGTTGTACACAGTTAGCAAATTGTATACGTCTTGATTCCGACCGGTTCACATATTCCACACTATCTCTAACATCACTAATGATGTGCTGAATCTCATCTAATCCATCTCGAACACACAAGTTCAAAATGAGTGCACAACAACAAACATGAAACAAACGTCCCCCACATACCAAACTTCTTGACCTTTGGAGTGTATCCTTCATGTACCGAATAGCAGAATCATTACTTGAAGCATTATCAACTGTAATTGTAAAAACTTTTCAATGCCCCACTCTTTCATGCATAAAAATATAGCATTAGAAAGTTGAAGACCTCCCCTCGGTGGTGGAATGTTAATGAAGCTTAAAGCTCTCTTCTGCAACCTCCGGGAAGAATCAATCCAGTGACAACCATATACTCAATCTTTTGATTTTTTTATTTCCAACAATCTGTTATCAAACTTACTTTACTAAAACTTTCAAAATTGTTCTTCAGTTTCTTCTTTTCAATCTCATAAACCTTCAAACAATCTGATTTGCTGGTATTTCTACAATTACAGTTGATAATGCTTCAAGTAATGATTCTACTATTCGGTACATGAAGGATACACTCCAAAGGTCAACAAGTTTGGTATGTGGGGGACGTTTGTTTCATGTTCGATGTTGTGCACACATCTTGAACTTGTGCGTTCAAGATGGATTAGATGAGATTCAACACATCATTAGTGATGTTAGAGATAGTGTGGAATATGTGAACCGGTCGGAATCAAAACATATACAATTTGCTAACTGTGTGTAACAATTGCAATTGAAAGATATAAAATTGATTCGTGATTGTAAAACTAGATGGAACTCAACTTTTGAGATGTTAAGTTGTGCACTCAAGTTCAAAGAAGCTTTTAAGATGCTAAAAGAACGCGATCCATTCTTTGACAGCTGTCCATTGGAAGATGATTAGGACATGGTTGCCAAAGTTTGCTCAATTTTAGAGTCTTTTTGGACAACTACTCACATTATTTCAGGTTTGTTTCTTTTATTTTTTTTTTTTTTAATTTGGTTAAAATTGTGACTTGTGATTATCTGAATTCAATTTTATTTCCAGTTCTGAGTACCCTACTTCAAATTTGTTTCTTCAAGAAGTTCAAAAAATCAAATCAACATTGGATAGTCATATAGATGATGAAGATGACTTTATTAGGGATTTGGTTAAGAGAATGAAGAAGAAGTTTGATAAATATTGGGGTGAGCACAATTTGTTGATGGCTATAGGTGATGTCTTTGATCCAACAAAGAAAATGCTTGCAGTTGAATTCTGTTTCCCTAGACTTATTCTGATCAGGAAGCTAAGGAGAATATAGCAAAAGTGAATGAGATTTTATGAAGAGTATGTTGCTGAATCAATGAACAAAGAAAATTCTGAAAATCCAAGTTCTTCTAACTTTTTTGGAAGCCAAGTCAGCCGCGAAAAGTCTACATATGCTTGGTAAGATTTTGAAAGATTTTGTGCACAAGTTGAAACTTCAGGGCCTAAAAACTCGGAGTTAGTAAACTATCTAGAAAAAGGGCATCTTAAGACTACTGAGGTTCCTAGCAACTTTTGTTGTTTAGACTGGTGGCTAGCAACTTTTGTTGTTTAGACTGGTGAAAGATGAATAGACTGCAGTATCCAATATTGTCAAGAATGGCAGCAGATATTTTAGATATACTTGTTAGCACTGTTGCTTCAGAAGCAATATTTAGTGCTGGGACAAGAGTAATTGATTCGTATCATGCATCATTGTTGCCTAAATCAGCACAAGCTTTACTTTGTGGAGGTGATTGGCTTCGACATATACATGGAGTTACCAAAAATAAAGTAAGTTAACTTTTATGCTAAATGATACATTATCTTTTTAAAATATTTGTTTAATTGTATACTTATTTATCTTTTTTTTTCAGAAAGAGAAATAATTTCAAGAAATATTTCTTCCGGCATCCAACTCATGAAAGTAAGTTACTAAGTAACATACTTGTCTGACTATTTTTAATTACTTTCATTTGTTATCTAATATTATTCATATTTTTTGCAAGTTGAATGTTAGAGAACTGGGAGAGAAAAAGAATACCTCTTGAGAGTTCTCCCTCTTTCTGTATGTCTTTAGGGTTAGTCAACCTCCCCTTAAATACTAGCTTGATCTAGACTGATATGGTATGCTAATATTCTAGTTTCCTAAAATATAGGATACTCAATCACACAGAATATTCTATAACACTCCCCCTCAAGTTGGAGCAAAGACATTGATCATGCCCAACTTGTTACACAAATAACTGACTCGGGTTCCAGTAAGGGCCTTCGTGAATAAGTCCCCAAGTTGTTCTCCTGTCTTCACAAATCCTGTGGAGATTAACCCTTGTTGTATCTTCTCACGTACAAAATGACAGTCAATCTCTATGTGCTTAGTTCGTTCATGGAACACCGGGTTTGATGCAATATGAAGAGCAGCTTGGTTATCACACCATAACTTTGCAGGAATTGGAGCTTTGAAACCAGACTCATACAAAAGGTTGTGTATCCACATTACTTCACTCGTTGATTGTGTCATCGCTCTATATTCAGACTCTGCACTCGAACGAGAGACTACATTCTGCTTCTTACTCTTCCAGGAAACCAGATTACCTCCAAAGAAAACACAATATCCAGTTGTTGATCTACGATCCTCTTTGGAACCTGCCCAATCCGCATCAGTAAAACACTCAATCCGAGTGTGACCGTGATTCTTATACAAAATTCCGTGTCCCGGAGCTCCCTTTAAGTAACTCAAGATGTGCTCTACAGCTGCCCAGTGATCAATAGTTGGAGATGACATGTACTGACTCAAAACGCTAACTGGGTATGCAATATCTGGACGGGTTACGGTCAAGTAGTTTAGCTTCCCAACCAATCTCCTATACCTCTCAGGATTTTCAAACAATTCCCCTTCCTTTGACAATTGCAAGTTCGATATCATGGGAGTATTGCATGGTTTAGTACCTAGTTTTCCTGTTTCAGAAAGTAAGTCAATAACATATTTTCGTTGGGAGAGTAATATACCTGTTTTGTTCCTCATAACTTCAATACCCAGGAAATACTTTAGTGGTCCCAAATCTTTCGTTTGGAATTGACTGTGAAGAAATGACTTGAGAGACAAAATCCCTTCAGTGTCGCTCCCTGTAATGACAATGTCATCTACGTAAACCACCAACCAGATGATACCTGTTTTGGACCACTTGTAGAACATGGAATGATCCGATTTGCCTTTCACCATCCCAAACTTCTCAACAACTTGGCTAAATTTTCCAAACCATGCACGTGGACTTTGTTTCAGCCCGTACAACGATCGCCGAAGACGACATACTTTCCCAGACTCCCCCTGAGCAACAAACCCAGGAGGTTGCTCCATGTACACCTCTTCATGAAGATCCCCATGCAAAAAGGCGTTCTTGATATCAAGCTGATGCAAAGGCCAATCATGAATGGCAGCCATTGAGATGAGTAACCTGACAGAAGTAAGCTTAGCCACAGGAGAAAAAGTGTCAGAATAATCAACTCCATAAGTTTGGGCATATCCCTTAGCCACAAGACGAGCCTTCAATCGAGCCACAGACCCATCAGAATTAACTTTGACAGTAAACACCCATTTACAACCAATAGATCTTTTACCCGCAGGCATAGTGACCAACTCCCAAGTACCATTGTGATCCAAAGCGTTCATCTCCTCAATCATGGCATTTCGCCACCCAGGATGGGACAAGGCATCCCTAACAGTCTTAGGAATGGAAATAGACTCAAGGGAAGCAATAAAAGAACACGAGGCATGTGACAACCTATCATATGATGCAACAGAGGATATAGGATAAGTACAGGTACGTTTACCTTTCCGGGTTGCAATCGGACGGTCATCAATTAAGACTGGATCTGATGACATAGAGGTGGTGTCAGGGCACGGAGTCTGTACCGAGTCTGGAATGGGAGGCGGTGCCGGTACGAGTGTGTCAGGTCGAGGTCGACGAGAATACACTTGCAAGACAGGAGGGGTAGGAACAGGGGAAGGAACAGACGACGTTACCGTATACATCAATATATCATCCTCCTCCCCCTTACGAACAGCATCTGGGGATGAAGGAAAGAAAGGGACGTTCTCATGAAAGGCAACATCAATGGAAACAAGGTACCTACCAAGCTCAGGAGAGTAACACCGATACCCTTTCTGCACACGGGAATATCCAAGAAACACACACTTCAAAGACTTGGGATCTAACTTGGTGACATGGGGACGGACATCTCGAACAAAGCACACGCAGCCAAATATACGCGGGTCAACATGGAACATAGGTTTTGAAGGATACAGAGTATGGAAAGGTGTTTTCCCACCCAAGACCGCAGAGGGCATCCGATTAATCAAGAAACAGGCTGTGGAAACGGCATCACTCCAAAACTGCTTGGGAACCCCCATTTGAAACATCAAGGCCCTTGCAGTTTCAAGCAGATGCCGATTTTTGCGTTCAGCGACCCCATTTTGGGAAGGTGTATCAACACAAGAGGACTGATGTAACATACCCTTCTTACGCATATAAGAGACAAAGGGAAAAAAAAAATATTCTTTTGCATTGTCACTACGTAAAACTTTGACAGGAACACCAAATTGAGTCTCAATTTCAACACAGAATCCACAAAACACCTCAAAAAGTTCAGAACGAGACTTCATTAGATATAACCATGTTATTCGGGAAAAATCATCAACAAACGTAACAAAATATTTAAAACCAAGTTTAGAGGTCACAGAACATGGACCCCAAATATCAGAATGTACTAACTCAAAAGGAGCAGACGCTCGTTTGTAAACTCTAGGACTCAAAGGCACACGATGGTGCTTGGACAACTGACACGACTCACAATGTAAAGAAGACAAACTAGAAAACTGCGGACACAATTTCTTCAACAAGGGAAGGGAAGGATGCCCCAAACTACAATGAGCTTCTACTGGAGTGACAGCACCTGAACAAGCAATAAGTTCTCGCCTCGTGGTGTCAAGAACGTAGAGGCCCCCAGACTCGCGCCCCTTACCAATAACCCTCTTCGTCAAAAGATCCTGAAACAGACAATAGTCAGGGAAAAACGTAACAGAACAGTTTAAAGTTCGGGTAAGCTGGCTGACTGAAATTAAGTTGAACGAAAAGTTAGGTAGATGCAAGACAGAAGACAAGGGGAGCGAGGGGATGGGCGTAATGGTACCGGACCCAAGAACATGGGAGGTAGAACCATCTGCTAAGGTGACGGGGGAACTATGTGGGCGAGAAGAAAGTGTGGAAAACAAACTAGAGTTACCTGTCATATGATCCGTGGCACCCGAGTCTATAACCCACTTGGAGGAGGATGAGAGAAGGCACGTAGTTGCATTACCTGAGTCAGCAATAGCAGTGACTGAAGAGGAGGATGAACGCTTTAAAGATTCTCGATACTGAGAGAACTCAGCAAACTCATCAGCAGAGACAGTGACCGTCTTGGAAGACGCCTCAGCGGTGGATGCAACATTAGCAGTCGGATTTCCTCGTTCCCTCAACCATCTCCGACAATCCCTTTTTATGTGGCCAGGCTTATGGCAATAATGACACACAATACCACCAGAAGTGTATCCCTGAGAATTTTTACCATTCCCACTGCGAGGATGACGGCCAACAAGAGCATTGTTTGACGGGATAGTAGCCTCAAGCACATTTGGTTGCGATTGCACCGATCGACTTAGACGTGGGAAAACATCAGCAAGAGAAGGGATTGCAGAGCTACTAAGAATTGCAGACCTCGCCGTGTCATACTCAGAAGGGAGACCTGCCAAAAAACTCAGAACACCCAACTGTTCACGTTGGGTTTGCTGCTCTTTAATGTCAGCAGTGAATGGCATAAGCTGATTAAGTGCCTCAAAAGTCTTCTTAAATTCCATAAAGTATGCAGGGAGAGACAAATCACGTTTTTCAGCACGGAAAAAAGACTTGCAAACATCATAAACTCGAGTGACATTCCCCTTTCCAGCATACAAGTATTCCAAATACTCCATTAACTCCTTAACAGAGGCACAATGACTAATGAACCCAACAACACCCTCATCAATAGAATTACGGATTTGTAGGAACAAACGGGCATCATCTCGAACCCAAGAAGCATCTTGGTCAGCCAAAGGTTTGGACAAGTGGTCACTCTTATCCAAACTAGTAAGATAAAGTTTAACGACATGAATCCATTCCAAGTAATTAGAGTCATTAAGCTTACAATCCGTGATTTTAGAACTAACAGGAACTATATCAGTAACAACCACAGACTTATTCTCAGCCATACCCACAAATATTTGAGCCCAAACAGACCAGAATTTATGCCTAAAAGTGAGCCTGGAGGGGTACGAAACAACCTAACCTTAGAACCGGAGCGGCGATGGTCCAAACTAAGTCCAGAACTGAGAAGAGGGGACTTAGGCGACCCAGAAACTGTCGTCGGAAAATTTTTCCGATGGCCGGAGACGGCCCACGCGCCGGCGCGTGGAGGGGGTGGCGGCGGCGAAGGTGGCGCGTGAGGCCCACGCGCAGGGCAGTTCGTCGGGAAACTTCTGCAGCTGTGGTCACCGGACTCCGGCGGACCCTTCTGAACCGGCGGTGACGACAGGAGATCGACGGAAAAAAAAATTTATTGAAGTGGCTCTGATACCATGTTAGAGAACTGGGAGAGAAAAAGAATACCTCTTGAGAGTTCTCCCTCTTTCTGTATGTCTTTAGGGTTAGTCAACCTCCCCTTAAATACTAGCTTGATCTAGACTGATATGGTATGCTAATATTCTAGTTTCCTAAAATATAGGATACTCAATCACACAGAATATTCTATAACATTGAACAATATTTCTTGTTTTGAACTGCTTATCTCGGAAGAAATATCTATGTACAAGGAATCAAGGACCACTGAATTGAAACATGAATTTTAAATCAAACAGGTCAAATTCGAGCTAGAACAATCGAGCTGCTCAAAAACTGCAGAGCTCGAGCTCGAGCAAAGCCTCCCTTAACAAGCTTGAGCTCGTCTCGACTCGTTTATACATCTAGTCTTGCTTTGCGCTTTGGAAGATTAGAAATGTTTTAGGAATTTTGAGTTTAAAATTTTAATTTTTAATTGTTATTTTTATATATTATAATATAATTATATTATATTATATTATATTATATATTATATTATATGGCTCAACGAGCCACGAGCCTAGAATATCTAGGTTCGGCTCAAGCTCAATTATTAAACGAGCCGCTCAGTTTTGACAGAGCTCAAGTCGAGCTTTAACCGAGCAGCTCGGCTCATTTAAACCCCTAGGATGATCTAAGGGTTACATCTCATTCTCCCAGTGGTGCCAAAAGGCAAGTGAAGAACCCAAACACACCAAGCTGCTCAATTGATATAGATTTTCCATCATCAGGCAGCCAAAAAAAAAAAATCAAAAAGAAAACTACACAAATTTCAGGCCGGGGTGGGGAATTCCCAACCTCTGTCAACACATGATTACATCTGAGAACTATTTAGCAATTGAGTAAAAAATTAGAGTGCAGAAGTGTACCTGGATTCATGACGAAGATTTAGGAGATGCTTAGCTTGATGGGTTTAGTGATTTTTTAAACCATAGAGTTTCTGTGGATAAGAATTTCAAAATTTAGCAATTAAATACACAGGATAAAACTTATCCTTAGCCTTAACTAAGCCTCCTTGGAGTAATCTGATTAGATGGAAAACTGTCCAAGTATATGGGTCCAAAATGAACTAACATGGACTTAATGACTAAGTACCGTATATCAATATACATCAATATATATGCATACGAGTATATACGGCCATATATGCATACATATATATACACATTCATCATCACTACAGCAATATTCCGGTATCAAATCATTTATCAATTTATTTAATAAAGTTAATTCCTTTGTCAAGTACCTTGTAATTCGATGGCATCATATAGCTTTTCATAAAGAAGGTTTCAGGTTCGAGTCTCATCCCAATAAGACCAACAACTCCATATAGTCTCATGATTAGACTAACCATATTTGTACAGAAATCCTGTTGTCATAATAATACCATAACATCCAATTTTGCCCAACAAGCTTCATATATGTCTCAAAGGATTATTCAGAAAATCTTAACAGTCGGATGTTGGGGCAAAGTCAAATCCAAGTATCTCTCCGGCTTTGTCCAGGAATTTTATGAACTCCCTTTTCTTTCATCACATTCCAAACCAAAGCTGATCTTTCCCATTTCCCAGAAGTTGCATATATACTTGACAATTGTGCAAAAGCACTCGAATTCTCAGGATCAAGCTCTGTAATTCTCTTAGCCACTTGCTTTCCTAGGATTTCATTACCCTGAGCTACACATCCTCTCAAAATTGATGACCATATGCTTGCATCTGCTTCGAAAGGCATTGTCAGAGTGATATTCATCGCCTCCTCGAGGCACCCTGCTCGTACATAAAGATCTACCATGCACGAGTAGTGTTCAATGCCTGGATCAGTATGATAGTCATGTCTCATCGCATTAAACCACTTTTTTCCTTCTTCTAGTAGTCCACAGTGATTACAAGCGGACAAGACTCCTGTGAATGTGATATTCGTGGGCAACACACCAGCACATCTCATTTCACAGAATAAGTTCAATGCTTCTGTTCCATAGCCATTTGTAGCATAACCCATCAACATAGAATTCCATGAAGCCTCATCAGGTTCCACTATTTGGTCGAATATCTTCCTAGCTTGTTTTACTAAGCCACACTTGCAATAAAGATCGAGTATGGAGGTAGAAACAATCTGATCAAAATCAATCCCTATGATGATAGCTCTTGCAAAAACCTGTTCACCAAGATCAAGTGAGGAGATGCTGGCACATGCGCTAATCATGCTTGCACAACTAAACCTATCCATCCTTATATCCATCTTATTCATTTTGCAGAAAATATCCAGGGCTTCTATTGGTAAGCCATTTTGACAGAAACCACCAATTATTGCATTCCAAGATATCAAGCTTTTATGTGGCATGGACTCAAAAATCAACTTGGCATCTTCAACTCTGCCGCAGCTGCAATAAATGGTAATCATAGAATTCAATAAAATAGTATCATGCATTTTAAGCTCACCAAAAATTTTGCAAGCATCGCATGAATATCCACACTTCGCATATGTGTCAATTAAAGCACTAGCAACTATGAGATCGTCTACTAATCCGAGCTTGCAAGCAAAAGCATGTACTAGCTGACAATTCTCGACAATCTGTGCACTACTGCAGGCACTTAAAACACTAACCAAAGTTGAGGAGTCCCCTGTAATTCCTGCCTTGTGCATCTCATCAAACATAAAAAATGCCTCTGAAGTATCACCATTTGACACATATCCTGTTATCATTGAATTCCACAATACAACACAAGGATCAGTTTTAACATCAAAAATTTGTCTCGCATCCTTCATTCTACCACAATTTGCATATGCTAAGATCATAGCTGACAAGGAAAAATCATCAGGAATCAGCATTCTACTCAGAATATGGTGAGCACTTTCCAGATCGCCACCTTTCCCATACATGTTAACCAGTGAACTAGCCAATGTAGAATCAATTTCCACTTGATCAACTATAATGTGAGCATGAATCTGCCTCCCCAAACGAAGACTTCTTAAATTCGTACAAGCCTTAACAACCGTAGTCAAAACAAAGGGATCAACGCATGACTTCTCACCTGTTATACACGCACCAAAACAAGAAAACTCCCTAAACAACCGCAAAGCAACACCAAGAAATCCAGTCCGTGCAAACCCATCGATCAAAGCATTCCAAGCGATAGCATTCTTCCTTGGCATCTCATATGAAAGGCGCCGAGCAGTGTCTAACTCCCCAGCATTTACGAGCCCCAAAATGGCCACATTCCAAGAAAAATCATTCTTTTGGGGCATACTAGAAAACAACCGCAGCGAGTCACTTATCATCCCGCATTTCATGTACCCTTCAAGTAGGGTGTTCCAGGTGAAGTAGTTTCTCTCGGGCATTTCATCGAACAACTTCCGGGCATCAGAAATTTGCCCGCACCTTGCATACATCTGGATTAAACGGTTAGCTATGGTGAGAGCAGAATTTAGAACGCCCCTTTTTAGGAAAAGAAGGTGGAACATCTTTCCATGTAAAAGGGAGTTGGGGGTGTTGATGCTTTTGACTGAACGAGCTTGCAAATCAATGTCCATTTTTGGTGAACTTTCATGCTCTTGGACAGTTTCTGCTAAGAAACACTTGTTTAGAGTATTATCGTGTAAATTTTAATTGGGAAATGCTTACTATTTAAAAATTATAAAGTATACCACAAGTTAGCAATGATTATTAATGTGTATTAATACCCAATTTAATTAATTATTGACTATAGTGTTTTTTTTTTGTATTTTGTGTCTGTATTTAGTTTTAAACAATTTTTTGTGCATAATTAAGTCATCAACTTTTATGATTTTATTCAATTGAAGCTTGTTAATTTCAACTCTATTAATACTCAATTTATTCATTGATTATAGTAGTTTTACTCAAGTTAGTCTTCGACTATAGTGATTTTACTCAATTTATTCGTCAATTATAGTAATTTTTCTTAATTTAGTCATTGATTCTAACAATTAATGACTCAATTAGATAAAATTATTGAAATCGATGAACTAATTAAGCATAAAAAGTCATTTAAAACTAAATCAAAAAAAATACTATAGTTGAGAATTAAATTGTATCTATTAAAAAAAAATCAAAAAAAAAATGTCAAAACAATTTATTGGAAGTTATCCCCTTCAAAGCCTGATAAATCTTTTGATAAAATAAAATAAATTTACCTTTATATATCATATATTTTTCCTATGCCACACATCCCCAATCCCGGACTCTGAACAGCCAAGATGAATTGTTGGGGATTTTTGTATGAATCTAATGTTTATTATTATTATTATACATACCTTTTGACTTCAGTTCCTTGATGTCTTAAGGTTTTTTTTTTGCATCCATATGTACCATGCCCAATCGTTATACTGTGCACCAGGACGCACATAACAATGTGCACCCTGCGCTTCTCAAAACGATGTTGTTTTGTTAACGCGACAAAAATGTATGTGCATTCAGTTATAAAATTCTTTGTTTTCAGGTATAAAATTCTGTACATTCAGGGCAAAAGATGGATCAAAATTAAAGGTGGATATCTTTATTGTTTTTGAAGGAGAAGACGCCTGCCCTGGTTGTTCTTAGTTTTCCTGCTTTTTAATGTTTATAAAAAATAAATTCATTAATCATAGTCAAAAACGTTTACATCAAAGTTCAATGAAAATATGGAATGATAAACCATTTCATACAATCTCACACAGAAACAAATTCCCTAACTTAGGAATCCCAGCTTCCAAATTGTAAAGTGAACTATAGCAATAAGCTAGAAATTCGTGGTTTAAAGAGCTTTTAAACTATACAACTTGCTCCAATGGTGATCTACAGAGGAACTCCGATGCTCACTCTCGCATTATAATTGCAAGTTTTGGATGCACCAGCTCTTCAAGATGATTTCTAACTGAATCTGGTGGATTGGGAATCTCAAATATGTGTTTATTTATGGACTGCATCAAATAGCAAAGTGAGTTAAATTATAAATTAACATTTACTGATATTATTTATGGACTGCATCAAATAGTATCTGTTATGCTAATCTTTGATGTTATTGCATTGTTTTGTACTTTGTTTGAGTCTAACATAAAAGAAATTTGGAGCTGCAATATCCATAAAACAACAAACTTTCTTCCTTTTCAACTGCTAACTCTTAGAAATACAGTAAAGCAATGCCTTACCAAAATAAGAATATGTTATCCCAATAGTAATTAAAGCATCTCAAAAGAACACATCTCTTAACAGTTCAAACTCCCTCTTATTTTCTCTAAACTATCTGAACAGATCAAAGGCTTTTAACAATACCTTCTTTCATATATACTATTCAACCTCCTGCTGCACGAGATGAGACAGTTGGCCAAGCCCTTCTTGAAAAACAAAGTTAAAGACCAGTGCAGACTTTTCACAACCTTGATCAATTGCAACTAAACTATTGGTAGATTTCACAGTAAAAATAATTATTACTACATAAGTGTAACACTGATCTTGAGCTTATTGCAAAACAAATAAAAACATGAAATTTACAATTTTTATTGTGTTACAATAAGCTCAAGATGAATGTTACAATGGTGACAATTATGCAACTTTACCTCCAACAATGGTGACAAAAGATTAATAAGCAAAGGCCAGATTAATCCAATCCAGCAAAGCTGTGATGACCAAAGTTTTATAATAATAAAAAAATCCAAGGATTTGGATCTAATCCATGGTATAAAATGTCACCAAAGCATAAATCAAAAGGAAATTATAATGGTAAAATTGCAATTCTACCATAACCTAGATCAACTCACAAGTCACAAACGAAAAAGATCGTTAACATCATACTTTTAAAATTTTTGTTCTTTGTCCTCTCCAACAAAGGAAAACCAATTGTGAATTAAAATAACATATCAAAACATAATTAAAACCATTTAGATATAAAAATCACCTTTCAAAACATAATTGAAATCATATTTCAATATTATTGTATGCATACCACACAAGGATCAATTCCAAACACAAACAAAAAATCAAAATATTCAAAAATAATTCCTCAAATAAAAACTTCACAACAGTCAGAACAAAAGATTAAGAATAATCAACCCAAATACTAGAAAGAAACCATAGATTTAAAAAAAAAAAAAAAATGCCCTCAGATCTCATAGCTTATACAAATCACAGACGGCTGAATACTGATGCCGTTCATCAAAAGCCTTTTTCAACGCTGTAAGAGCAGCCACGGTGAAGTGTGTGCAAATGTGTGTGAATATTGACGATGAAAGGAGGGGGGAAGGAAAGAAGGAGATGCGATGGTACTGGCACGCGCTTACAATGCTGAAGGGCAAATGATGAACACAGAGACACCAGGCCGCTCAATTGATATAGATTTCCATCATCGGGCAATTGATAATCGGGAAGAAAATTACCAGATATATACACAAAATGATGAAGAAAATAACAGAGAATCATAAACACTCATATCTCATCTCATATATACAGATAAATAAATACATGCTAGGCAAAAACTCAGAGGCGAAGTTGCAGTTGCAAGATTCCTAGCGTGCGGCTATATATATATACAGGAGATGCCTAGGGTTTATTGATACTGAGATAATGTCATCCGTATACATCGTAACTGAATCCGGACTTTGTTATTGATTGGGCTTGGGCTGTTAGGCTATAAAAATGAGGGTTGAAATAATAATAACAATGTCTTCCTGTAAAAATGAGAATTCATCATAGTTGTTCATTATGTTTCATTAAAGATCCCTTTCTGAACAACATAGACCGGATTTAATCAAGTTAGATCGGAAATTGAGAAGAGAACTCGAGGATGTACTGTACCAGGAGGAACTGTTGTGGTTCCAGCGATCAAAGGAAGATTGGATAGTGTCTGGGGATAGGAATACCCATTTTTATCACGTGGCCACGGCAGTTAAGAAAAATACAATGAAGGTGAATCGGTTAAAAGACGAGACTGGACGTTGGTTAGTTGAAGAGGGGGATATTAGGGATCATATTAAGGACTATTTTAAGAAATTATTTTCGGAAGAGGATAGAGGGTCAAGTGCTACCAGCATGCAGGAGCAATTTCTGAGTTTATCAGACCAAGTTTGGCAATCAGTGAACATATCTTTCACGGGGGAAGAGATTAAGGAAGCTTTATTCAGTATGTCCCCATCAAAAGCACCAGGCCCGGATGGTTACAATGCGGATTTTTTATCAAAGTTTTGGAACCACGTAGGGGATACAGTAACACAGTTTGCTTTGGACTTCTTCAACAATGGTCACCTCCCTCAAGGAAGCAACGATACTTTAAATGCCCTCATTCCGAAGGTCCCCAGCCCAGATTCAGTTAAACAACTTTGGTCGTGGCCTATATAATGTCTCCTATAAAGTTATATCAAAAACCATGGTCACTAAACTAAAAGGTAGTATCGCAGAAGCTGATTGGGCCGTATCAAACGAGCTTTGTCCCCGGGAAGCAGATATCCGACAATATATTAGTCTATCAAGAGGTGTTGAATGCAATGAAATCAAAAAAGGGTGCCACGGGGTGGATGATTCTAAAGATAGACCTTGAAAAGGCCTATGATCGCTTGGCTTGGGATTTTATTGAACTGACTAAATCATATTTGGTGTAGGAACATCATGGAGTGTGTTAAATCTACAAGGCTAGCCATTAACTGGAATGGAGAAAGATCGGAGTGGTTTAAATCAGGAAGAGGCATCCGTCAAGGATACCCCATTTCTCCACTACTATTTGTTTTTTGTATAGAACGGCTTAGTCTTTTAATTGATTATTGTGTCAATGCAGGACATTGGAAGGGGATCAAGTTGTCAAGGCAGGGTCCAGTGTCTCCCACTTGCTGTTCGCAGATGACATGACACTGTTTGGAGAAGCGACATTGGAGCAAGCAACAGTGATTAGGGAATGCCTTAATTCATTTTGCAGCTGCTCAGGAGAAAAAGTGAACTACCAAAAGTCCTCCGTATATTTCTCCAATAATACTCCCTCGAGTCTGCAGCAGGAAATCGCGGGTAATCTGGGTATCCCCATGGTCCAGGATCTAGGTAAATATCTGGGTGTCCCCTCACTTAATGGAAGAGTTAAAAAGGAGACTTATGTTGCTCTCATTGAAAGGGTTCGGGATAGACTAGCAAGTTGGAGAGCTAGGTCGCTGTCGTTAGCCGAAATGGTGGTATTAGCGCAATCTGTTCTGTCCACTATTCCGTATTATACAATGCAAACTGCGTTGATTCCAAAAGGAGTGGTCACCAATATTGAGAAGCTGATTCGAAGCTTTTTTGGGGTGGGGTGGGGTGGGGGGGGGGGGGAGTAAAGGCGAAAGGAAAGTTCATTTGATCAACTGAGAAATGTTAACGCGGAGAAAAGATCAAGGAGGCTCAGGTCTACGCAGATTAGAGGGGATGAATTTAGCGTTTCTAGCCAAGTTAGGTTGGAGGATTATGAATAATGAAGAATGTTAGTGGGTTAAAGTATTTAAAAGCAAGTATACCATTAATGACAGTAATCCGGCTTCATGGCGACTTAAGGCAGGCATGTCAAGAACTTTGAAGGGGATTCTAAAGAGTGCTTCTATCTTGCAGGCTGGCCAAAAAATTGTTTTGAATGGGCGTAATA